CACCACCTGTGACTTCAACCAGCAAATGTGCCAAGAGGGGATCCCGGTGCGCCTGTACAGTACCGGTGCCCTCACCACTGGCCTGCCTTCTGTCTCCATGGTTGAACTCTGTCTAGCATCCATAAGAAAGGAAGCAAGCACCATGTCGCTGTTTGAGCTTGGCTGCCCACATTGGTTTCAAGATCCATTCATGTTATTGCATAGATGGGTTATTTGCTCCATGTGGTTGATTGGAAGTCTTCATAGCATGGATAAATGACAGGTTATTCATTCCATCCCCAGTTGTAGACATCTGTGTTGCTATATGGGTTGTCTCCCAGTTGTAGACAGTGCGGGGCCATTCTTATTTGTCATAGCTGCGCTGAGCTTCACGTGGACATGTGTTCACGTGACGTGTTCGTTTTGCTTGGGTAAATACCTGAGTAAAGTTTATGTGTTAAATGCTAACAGTTCACATTTTGCGTGCATAGATTGTCTCCGCAGTGGCTGTACTAACTTGCACTCCTCCCAGCAATGAGTGAGAGTTCCACTAGTTTCACATCCTCACCAGCCCGATACTGTCAGTCTCTTGTAATTGGGACCGTTCTAAGGGGCACATAGTGGTCACTCATTGTGGGTTTAAGTTGCATCTCCCTGATGTTGAGCATCTTTTCATAGACATGAGGTTTGTCATTCCCATAGCTCCTCTTGTGAAGTATATGTTCAGATCTTCATTAGTTTCTACATCTTGTTGTCTTACAAGACTTCTGCATGTATTCTGGAATCAAGACCTTTTCCATATTTCCGTATTTCTCCCATGGGCGTATTCTTGCCTGGAGATGGGAAGGCGGTGTGGGTAGAGCCCTGTGTCTGGGCTGCTTCCTAGCTGGGGCCTCCTTGGGCAAATAACTTCCCCATTTTAAGTTTCAGTTTCTTCATCAGTAAAATGGGAAGAGACAAACAAAACTCTACCCTGTCTATCCCACAAGTTTGTTGGGGGCTCTCAGAGGAATTATAACTATGGAAACGTTTTGAAACCCGTCAGACTTATAAATAGTATTTCCACATTGCACTTGAAAGCTGAGTACGCCATGTCACTGCCCTTGGCTACACATCAATTGGAAGGGAAAAGGTCCAGGGCAGGCACATGCCAGGTCAGAGGATGGCCCAGGAGGGATGCAGATGGGAATGATGAGCAGAAGAGGGTAGAAGACATCCATTCACTCACTCAGACGGTGTCCTGAATGTCTACTCTGTCCTGGACACTCCCCTTGGCAGTAGGACCATGGCTTGGACCCTCACCGAACCCCCAGATTCTCAGGTCACTAGCTGAGTGAACACTAAGGCTCTCAACAGTGAATTACCTGTGGTGGGCAGGGGGTGGGGCAGAAGGCTCCAGCTCTGGTCTGCTCACCACCCCTGACTTTGAGAAGCCGGGGGTTCCTCAGAGACAATAATTAGGGAGATGGAGCAGATGACTCTAGGACTCAAAGTGACACACACACACACAAAAAAAAGAACCCAAAACCAGCTGCAGCCATTGCTAATTGGAATGTGGACTGTATGAAGGATGGAGCTAGGAAACTGGAAATTGTCAAAACTGAAATGGAATGCATACAAGTCTCTTCTGTACTAGGCATTAGTGGGCAGAAATGGACTGGCTTTGACCACTTTGAATCAGACAGTCATATGGTTCACTATGCTGGGAATGGCAACTCAAGAGGACTGGAATCGAATTCCTTGTCAAAAGGGACATTTCAAGATCCAACTTGAAGCAAAATTCTGCCTGTGATAAGGTAGCGATCCCCCGTCAAGGAAGTCTAGTTAGCCAAACGATTCCTCCAATCTGCGTACCAACCACTAAAGCTAGTGATGAAGAAACTGGAGAGTTCTACGAACTTCTTCAGTCTGAAATTGTTCAAACATGTACTGAAGATGCATGATCATTATCGACAACTGGAAAGTGAAAGTGGGAAACAAAGAGGTAGGACCAATAGTTGGAAAATACGGCCTTGGTGATAGAAATGAAGCTGGAGATCACATAATAGAATTTGTTCATTGCAAAGACCTTTCTACAACCACAAAAAGCGGTGGCTGTGCGTACGGACTTGCCAGACACACTACACAGAAACTAAGTTGACGGCCTCTGTGGGAAGAGGTGATCGAGAAGCTCTCCGAGTTAGCAGCCAAAGCAAGCAGGGAGCCACCATGGGATGGAGCATCAGTTACTCATCTCTAAGTTGTAGTTTAAGTTGAAGAAAATGAAAGCAAGCCCACAAAAGCCAAAATAAAAAACTGAAGAATTCTACTAACTTCTTCAGCCTGAAATTGTTCAAATATGTACTGAAGATGCATTGGTAGTTATTGGCAATTGGAAAGTGAAAGTTGGAAACAGAGAGGTAGGACCAATAGGTCCCACTTGAATTTTGAGATCATCTCAAGAACAGATTTGCTACACTGAACACTAGTAACAGAAGACCTGGCAAGCGAAGAGACTCTGACACTTGCTTTTAATAGCTAAAGCAAATGGAAGAAGCAATGAAGTAAAAGAGCTCAATAGAATATTTCAATGGCCTCTTGAGAAGCCAAAGTAGAGCTTCATAATGAAATGTGGTAAGACCTGGACGTAGAAAAACACATTCAGCATATCTCAAGCTGAGACAACTGAAGACCAATGTCAAGCCTTGAATTCAATATTGAAGAATTCTCAGTTCAAAACAGGGAACAAGGCATGAAGCATCAAAAGGAGATGAAAGGAATACACAGTCGCTGTGCTTTAAAGAGCGGATTGACATTTGACCATTTCAAGAGATAACAAGATGATCAAGAACCAATGGTGCTGAAGGAAGAAGTCTAAGCTGCCTTGGAGGCATTAGCCAAAAACCGGGCTCCAGGACCTGACGGAACACCAATTGAAATGTTTCCAAAGCAGGTAAGCCTGGAAAGCACTTGTCTCTGTCAAGAAATGTGGAAGACAGCTACTGGGCCAGCCAACTGGAAGAGGTCCATTTCTGGGCCCATTCTGAAGAAAGGGGACCCAACAGAATGTGCAAAGTAGCGAACAATGTCATTAATATATGTGACAGTAAAATTTTGCTTTAGATAATTAAAAAATGATTGCAGCAGTTGATCAACAGGAAGTTACCAGAAAGTCATGCTGGCTTCAGAAGAGGCATGAGGGCTATCATTGCTGGTATCAGATGGCTCTTGGCTGGCTGAAAGCAGAGAATAGTTTGTGTTAGCTTGTGTTTTATTGACTAAGCAAATGCATTTCACTTTGTGGATCCTAACAAACTATAGATAGCATGGAAATGAGTGGGAATACCAGAACATTTTATTGAGCTCATGTGGAACCTGTGAATGAACCGAGAGGTAGTCATGCAAACAGAACACAGGAATTCTGGATGGTTTTAAAATTGGTCGGGGCTGTATCTTGTCAGTATATTTATTCAATTGTATGCCAAAGAAATAATCTGAGAAACTGCCCTCTATGAAGAAGAGCTCAGCATCAGGATTGAAGAAGGCTTATTAAGCAACCTGTCGCAGCCTTGCTTGCTGAAAGGAAGGAGGATGTGATGCACTTGATAATGAAGACTAAGGATTGTAGCCTTCGGTATGGATTACAACACGATGTAAGCAAAACCCCAATCCTCACAACTGGTCCAGTACACAACATATGATAAATGGAGACAAGATCAAAGTTGTGAAGGATTTCATTTTGCTTGGGTCCACAGTCAGTGCTCACGGGGAGCTGAGTCCCGGAAGGAGACAACGTATTGCACTGAGCAGATCTGCTGCACAAGACCTCTCTAAAGTGTCGAAGAGCGAGATTGCCACTTTAAGGACCCTGTAAGGTGCCCCTGACACAAGGCATGTTTTTTTCAATCCCCTCACATGCATGTGAAAGTTGGACGGCGAATCGGGAAGTCCAAAGAAGAATGGATGCATTTGCATGATGATATTGATGAAGAACGTTGGAAGTATTGTGGACTGCCAGAAGCATAAGTCTGTCTTGGAAGACGTACAGCCAGAATGCTCCTTAGAAGTGACGGCGAAACGTCATCTCGCACACTTTGGACACGGTCTCAGGAGAGGAGTCCCTGTTGAAGAGCTTCACGCTTGCTCAAGTGCAAGGGGCACGAGCAAGGCAGGCTCTGGGCAAGATGGATGGACAGAGTGGCTACAACAATGGGCTAAAGCGTAACAACAGTGGCGAGGATGGTGCCGGACGGCCCCGCTCGTTCTGTTGTCCACAGGGTCACTCGGAGTTGGAACTGACTCAAGGGCACCTAACAACATAGCAGATGACCTAGACGGGAACTGTTGCCTCTGGACTTTGTGAACCTAAATCTCCGCTCTCCGCAGACATCTTGGAGCAGCGCTTTACAAACATTGCTTCAGTAGGAGTCTTGACAACATGCAGTCACAGAGTGTTTTCACAGTATGTATTGGATCCTTCCCCAGGAGCTGGTCAAGGTAAGTAGTGCTTTCCCTGCGTACCGACGAGGAACCGAGGAACCGCCTCAGTCTACCGAGAGGAACCGCCTCAGTCTGTGAGGAACGGCTTGCCCAAGGTCACACAACTTAAACTGAAAAATAACTATGATCGTGCCGAGTCAGCTTTGGAAATGACGGACCAGAACGTTGACCGTTTGCCAGGTGGTTACTTCCCCAGCCATCTCCTGGCACATGGGAGTAGTGCTTTCTAGCCAATGACGATTGTGAGACCCAGAGGAGCGAGCAAGCTGAACTGGGATGATGGCCCAGGTCTCCTGACAGCCAGGCCATGCTGCTCCCCAGAGGACGCACAGCCTCCTCCTTTAACCCCATGTCACCGCAAGGCTCCCTGGGGCAGAGAAAACCACCATGTGCTCAGGACCCAGAAGAGGGTGTGTAAGCCTTGCTGAGCATGGGGGCTCGGCCCAGCACCGACCGGGGCAGCTCCGGCTCCCTGAGAGAGCTCCAGTGTCGGCCACAGGGATCCCAGTAGCATCCAGTGATATCTTGGCTCTTGTTTCTAGGACCACCTCGACGGGTCTGAGGCTGGAGTTGGCTGCCCCTTCGCAGACGTTGGCTGCTCCTTCAAGGTGAGCATCTGAAGGTGAAAAGGAATCTGTCCACTAAGGTCATAGATCTCTTGGGCCGCCACTCCAGCCCCCCTGGGATTTTCTCATGATGTCAAGTCAAATCCCACTGTGAAGTCCCCTTGGTGCTCAGGGAAGTTCATCTTAACGTCTCACCGCAGCATTGGAATTTGTTGCTATTATGGGGGGCCACAGAGTAGACAGACTGCTAGCCCCCCACCCCTTGTGGTAGAGTAGAGCTACCCCGCAGGGTCTTTTATTACCTGTCATCTTGGTGGATGCAGATCCCCGGGTCTGTCTCCCACAGACCTACCCAGATGAGTCCACACTGCCAACTTTGGGGTTTGCAACCAAGTGCTGAGCCATTTCTGCCACCAGGGCTCCAAGATGGCCCGTGGCCCTCTCGGACCATCATGTACTTGAGGTCCGGGCAGGGTTTCTGCCCTGGGGGCTGGGGTGCATGTGGCTTCTGGGGTGCATCTGCTGCCGGGGCCCTCCACCTCACTCCTCCCACTGCACACCAAGCCTCCCCTCTGCTGGCTGTCTTGGGCAGCTCTTCCTACGGCTCCCAGCTCTTTGCTCACCTCCTCCATCCTCACCGGCCACCCCACTCTCTCTGCAGGGGAGCCCAAAGTCTCTGCAGGAGCATGAGGCTACCTCCCAGGCCTCCCACCTAAACCTGCTGCTGGGCTTCATGAAACAGTGGCAGGCCCAGCTGGGCTCTGGCCAGGGGTCTGGCCCTCTTGCCCTGGAGCGGGACCTGTCCGGCCTGCAGCTGCAAGCAGCGGTGGAGGTGGCCGGAGACCTGGAGGTGGATTGCTACCAGGCGCCCTGCTCCGAGAGCCAGGAGGAGCTGCCCCTGCAGGACTTGATGAAGGAGAAGCTCCTTGCTGAGCTGAAGGAGAAGCTACGTGTTTTCGAGAACATCGTTGCCGTACTCAACAAGGAGGTGGACGCCTCCCAGCTGGCACTGGCTGCCTCCATCCACCAGAGCCAGCTGGACTGCGAGCACATCCTGAGCTTGGAGCAGAGGGTGAGTGACGGGCAGATTCCTGTCCTGGCATCCCACCCCCATTACCCCCTGCCTGTTTGTCTCCAGAGCCCTGGACCGGCCCACCCTCTCCGGTGTTTGCTCCCCATCAAAGCTGTTCTCTCCTGGGTAGACTTTGACTCAGCGCCACTAAGTTAGACTTTGACGCAGAGCCACCCTGTAGAACAGGGTAGGGCTGCCCCTGTGAGTTTCTGAGACTGGAACTGAGACTATAATTGGAGAAGGGATGTCTTTCTCCCATGGAGCAGCTGGTGGTTTCGAACTTGTGGTTAGCAGCCCAACCCACTACCATGATGCCACCAGGCCTCCTGAGTCAGACCTCATAGCCAGGGTCAAACCCCCATATGCAGCGCTGCATGAACTTCTCCCCCGGCAGCGCTTTCCAATGCTCACTTTTCACTATGAGAAAGCTGTTCCTTACACAAGGTTACAGCCTGCTCTGGGGTGTTCCCTACATGGTTCCTGGCCCTGGCCCGTAGAGCATCAAAAAGACCTGCCTGAGACTTTCCTTCCTTAGGCTGGCCACCCCCAGAGCCTTCACCATTCTGCCAGGGCACATTGCTTCATGCTGTCCCGTCGGCCCTGTCTTGGTCTCTCACGGGTTGTGCCTGCTCCGAGCAGGTCCAGGCTCCACCTCGTCCACTTATCCTTCCGTTCTTGGCTCCCGAGCTTCTGTGTTTCTTCCCAGAGCAGTCACCATGGCGGTGCTGCTTTTGGGCAGCATTATTGTCTCGTGATGTCGAGAGGCCTGGATTTGGGTCCCAGCCCAATGAGCTGCCCTGGGCCAGCCACTGTCTCTCGCAGAGAGCCTCAGTGTTGCCACCGATGAAAGCGGAGATGAAATTATCTTTAAGGGCACTCACCTCCACTCCTGGGCACACCTGAGGAAGAACTTGTGCCTCAGGAGGTTTGTCCCCACGGGTCACCCACCAGAAGGGTTGGGTGCCTAGTCCAAATGAGCCAATAAAACCTGTATCTGTGAGACTCAGGCCCCGTTAGAAAGTAGGCTCCCTGAGAGTGGCGACTGACTTCATTCTGCCAGCAAACTTCCTGTCTCTTCTTACATGCCAAGTGTCGTGGCAAGCATGGCAGAGAAGTGGGCTTGAGCCCAGGCCTCCGCAGGCAGGGGAGAACATCTGCTAGAGAAGGCACGCTCCGGGAAACGACTCTGTTCCCGGAAAGAGAGGCCAGCTGACCTAGGACAGGTGGAAGGTTCCCAAGGAAGCTTCCTGATGGATGCATAGGAGAGCTGGCCAGGGGCATAGGAAGGAGATGAATTCCCGGCAGACAGGGAGGCACACGGGAAGATGTGGCAAGAAGGCACGTCTGGGCAGGTCTGTCCCCCTGTCTTGCTGTCCCCCACCCACCCAGCCCCAAGCCAAGCCAGCTGCTGGTGCCCTGGCTGAACAGATGTCCCTGCAGGTGGTGGAGTTGCAGCAGACGCTGGCCCAGAAGGACCAGGCTCTGGGCAAACTGGAACAGAGTCTGCACCTCATGGAGGAAGCCTCCTTTGACGGTACCTTCCTGTGGAAGATCACCAACGTCACCCGGCGGTGCCACGAGTCGGCCTGTGGCAGGACCGTCAGCCTCTTCTCCCCAGGTAATGCCTCCCCCCAGGCATGGAGACCAGCCAGGGGAGGCCGGCCTCCCTGGGCTCAGCAAGCAAGCACACAGACCGCAACCCCCCACCATGGCTGCCCTGAGCCCTGCTAGGCCAGTATCCATTCAGGTCTCCTAACACAGACAGCAGTTGTGCTGGGACTGGGGGTGGGGGGTGGGAGCTCTGAGCTGTGGGTATGCTGTCTGCCAGTTCCTCCTCTCCCTGCTGGAAATGGAAACAGGCTAAAGGAAGTTTGAGTGAACGCAGGTGAGCACGGTCAGCTGTGGTCACTCTGGAACCCTGACCCCCAAGAGCCATGGAGCCAGGGATAGCAGAGAGCACAGGGCTGGGGGGCCCCCCCGTCCAGAATCTGCCTGTGCTCTGGCCCTGGGCTCTATGTCTGCCACAAAGGGCTTCCTCAGGAAGTGCTTCTGCTCACTAGTCACTGTTTATATACAGTGCATACACTTGTACATAAAACGCCCATGTCCATGCATCCATATAGGGCAGGGTCCCCCTGCCAGCGAGTCAATTTGGACTCAGTGATCCCAAAAGGGGCTTCTGCAGCTATGATTCTTTACAGGGGCACACAGCCTCGCCCTTCACCCCTAGAGAGGTTGGTGCTCACTCTACAGCACCACCAGGGCTTCTTCTACCAAGCAGTACCAGGTGCAGGATGGGCAGCCGGCCTTGCCACGTGCAGATCCTCACCAGCCTCCTGTTGCCTCGGGTCATTGTACAGACAACAAACCAAGCCCCAGAAGACCCAGTCTCTTGAGCACACACTTGGCCATCTGCTTTCTCCCTGCCCGCCTCCCAAGCATGCCTGCGTGAGCCAGCTGCATGAGCCAGTGGGACAGGAGGAGTTAGCCTTGACCCCTCCCATCTGCCCAGGCCTCCTGCCTTTGATGGCCCCAGCTGGGGTTCTGCCTCCCCATTGTTTGCAGGCCTGACTGAGAGGCTGGGTCCTGTACTACCTGGCCCCCTTCCTGCAGGGGCAGCACTTCTTCCCGGCAGCAAAAGCCTCCCTTCCCAGAGAGGCTGGAAGGTACTAGCTGCCAGAACCCACCCCCTTGGGACGGACGGACAGAAGGCAGCCCTAGACCCCTGTGCTTAATCCCCGGGCAACATTGCAGCCCTTGGGCCTGTGCTGAAGTAGGCCCGAGCTGATGCCCCACTTCCCAGAAGGTGCCAACCAAGTGGCCGAGGACAAAAGCATTGGGAGATAGGAGGTCTGCCCCCAAATCCTGCCTCTGCCGCAACACACAGCCCTCGTCCAGCCCTTTCCCCTCCTGGGCTCCATTGCCCAACTGTCAAATGCAGGCTAGGCTGCATCCTGGTTCTCACAGGGCAGTCCCGCTAAGGGCCATTCAGCTCAGCCTTTGCTTTGAGAATTTGTCAGAAATGCAAATTCCCCGGCCTCCTCCCCCAGCTCTACTGAATCTGAGGCAGGGCCTTTCGAAACCCCCTTGGACATTCTGCTGGGCCGGCTGATCCCAGAGCCTGCTGGGACTCTGCCGGGGAAGGACGCCAGGCTCTGCCTCTAGCTTCCTTGGTTTTGAGCTACTGACCATGGGCAGGCCTGACCGCTGGGTCCCAGTTGCCTCCCCTGCACTCTCAGCCACCTGGGTGCTGACTCTGGCTTGCACATTCCAGCTTTCTACACTGCCAAGTACGGCTACAAACTGTGCCTGCGGCTGTACCTGAATGGGGACGGCACAGGGAAGAGGACCCACCTGTCGCTCTTCATCGT